TTGCCATGTAGTGTGGTAAAAGAGAAACTACATTCACTGCAAAGGCTCTGGTGAATAAAATTGAAAGGCTTCAAAAACAAATATTAATGAAATAAAAAAAAAAAAACTTATACCAGAAATAAAAGGTCTTCTGAACAGAAAAGAAAATGTCTCACAAGTGCAATTGTGTATCATCATCTTCCATCTGTCTTAAAGCTGAGGCTGACATAACTGCATGAATGGCACAACAATAACTTGATTTGAGGTTCAAATTGATAAACTGAGTTTTGAAATCCCAGAGTGTGTCAGTCAGTACATTGGAGTGTCCGAATGGAATACACTCCTATTCACAGAAAAAAAAAAAGAAAACACTTAATGTCTTAATGCAAGTGCTAAATCATTTGTCCCTTATTTTTATAAAAAATAACGTTACTAACATAACCCCGGTTCTCTGATAACATGACGTGAGGTATCTCACTATGGGAATGCCCCAGGCGTGACCGACTGCGGAAGCACCAATGACACCACGTCTGCCAATCACAGCAGACCAATCGCTGCAGCGATCAGGGAGTCTCGCCTCCCTGTATATAACCCGCAGCTACCTGCTGTAACGTAGAAATCAGTGGTTAAGTATTTACAACACTGTTCCAGAACAGTTCAACCCAAATATTCAGATGTGTCCAGCGCATTTTATGGAGGACTGTTTCCTGATCCTGGTAGAGTAGACTACAGTGCCGGCTGTTCTGACTCACAGACTGTAAGTACGTTTTTTATATTTAAATTCTTTTTAGCAACATCATATGACCCCTTTAAGGAGAAACTGATTGTTGGGGACTCAGACTTCAACCTTATAATTTCACCGTAAAGTTCAGGAAAGGCTCAGACAACCCTGCGGACTATATGTCTTGTCACCTTGTTTCCACACCTGCACCATGCAACACTCGAGCCACAAAAGTTGCAGAAGAATACATTAATGTTCTTGCACAACACAGCACACCGAAAGCCATGACTCTTGATCAAATCAAACCAGAAACTCTGATTACAACCCAGTCCTCCAAAAAGTGTACTCCCTCATTCACACTAATTCCTGGGGTTCAATTACTGACGCTATGGAACATGCGCCAACACTGCTGAAATATAAATGCATCAGTAGTGAACTCACCGTCCTGCCTAATGATAACCTAACCCTCAGACTCTCCAGAATTGTCATTCTGCCTTCATTAGAGCACCAAGTTCTTCAGCTGGGTCATGAATCCCATCAGGTCACTGTGAAAACAAAGACCCTCCTAAGAGAGAAGGTATGGTTCCATGACATGGATAACAAAGCTGAAGTTATGGTAGCAAACTGTCTTGCCTGCCAAGCCAACACACCGGTAACACATTCTGAGCCATTGCAAATGTCTAAGCTTCCTGGAAATGCCTGGCAAGAGGTCACTGCTGATTTCTATGGTCCTCTACAAACAGGTGAATATATGCTTGTCATCATAGATTAATATTCTCACTACCCATTGGTAGAAGTTCTTCATTCCATCACAGGAAATTATGTGATCCCTGTGATGGATAAAGTTTTCTCAATGTTTGGCATTCCAAAAGTTGAGAAGACGGACAATGGACCTCCCTTTAACAGCGATCATTTCAGCAAATTTGCAGAGTACCTTGGATTCCGTCACTGTAAAATCACACCATTCTGGCCACAGGCAAATTGTTCTGCTGGACGATTCATGCAAGACGCTGGGCAAAACGCTCTGCGTTGCAGGTACCAAACAAATTCCATTGAGACAGCAGCTGTTCATCTTTCTAAGGGGATATTGTGCGACACCACATAGCACTACCAACACATCCCCAGCTAAGTTGATGTTTCGCCGCAAGATACGCACAAACATCCCAAACCTAACTACAGAAACACCTGTTGCATCTGATCATGATCTGCAAAAAAGAGACAGAGCAGCCAAAGCAAAGATGAAAGCATATGCTGATTCTCGCCAACATGCTTCCTTTCACACTCTACAGATTGGTGACCAAGTACTGCACCGGCAGCCCAAACAACAAACTCACAGCACCCTACAATGCTGTCCCACACACTGTAACCATGACCAACGGCTCCATGATTACAGCTGCACGAGGTAGTCATTCCATCACTCAGAACTCGTCATTCTTCAAGAGATTCCTTCCTCAGAACGTTGTGCCATGTGAGCATAGTAATGATCTTCCACAAATTGTGACATCACCAAGATACCCAAATCGGAGAAACAGACCATTAGAAGTAGTACTTCAAAAATCTGGACTCAATAGTTGATGTCAAACACTGAGTAACCCAACCTATATCATTTAAATACCAGTCTTGAAGTAACTTTCATATTGATGTTTTTCTGTTTAGAGTAAGTTTTTTTTCTGAAAGATGCACTGTTTAAAAAGAGAGAGAGAACCTTGTCAGTTGAGTCAGTTGAGGGTGGAAGAGAGCGCTGTACATTCACTCCCCCCATCTACAATTCCTGCCGGACCTGAGACTCGAACCTGCAACCTTCGGGTTACAAGTCCGACTCTCTAACCCAGTGGTTCCCAACCCTGGTCCTGGAGGCACCCCAACACTGCACGTTTTGCATGTCTCCTTAATCAAACACACCTGATTCAGGTCATCAGCTCATTAGTAGAGACTCCAAGACCTGAAATTGGTGCGTCAGAGAAAGGAGACATGCAAAATGTGCAGTGTTGGGGTGCCTCCAGGACCAGGGTTGGGAACCACTGCTCTAACCATTAGGCAACGACTGCCCTTTCTATATTAGATCCCTTTCTACAAAAGCGCATTTTGTAAATGAAATGATCACAGATCATAACTTAGATGTGCTCTGTTTGACAGAAATTTGCTAAAACCAGATGATTATATTACTTTAAAGGAGTCTACTCCCCAAGATTACTGTTATAAACATGAGCAACATCCAAAAGGTAAAGGAAGAGGTGTTGCTACAATTTATAGTAATATTTTCAGTATTTCTCAGAGCTCTGGTTTCAAGTATAATTCGTTTGAAGTAATGGTGATTCAAATAACATTACCCAGAGAAACAAGTGTTAATGATAAATCCCCTGTGACGTTTGTACTGGCTACTACAGGCCACTAGGGCACCATACAGACTTTATCAAAAAATGTGCTGATTTTCTATCCGAGTTAGTGCTGGCTGCAGATAGTCTTAATTGTTGGTGATTTTAATATCCATGTAGATAATGAAAAAGATGCATTGGGATCAGCATTTATAGACATTCTGAATTCTTTTGGGGTTAGACAACACGTGTCAGGGCCTACTCATTGTTGTAATCATACTTTAGATTTAATACTATCACATGGAATTGATATTAATGGTGTTGAAATTCTGCAGCAGTGTGATATCTCGGATCATTATCTAATCTCATGTATACTCCATATAGCTAAAGCTGCAAATGTATCTCGTTACAAATATGGTAGAACCATCATATATACAACAAAAGACTGCTTTGTTAATAATCTTCCTGACTTGCCCTAACTTTATAAAAACCACCTCTAGATAAACATCATCGTGGAAATCTCGACAAAGTTTTTTTTCTAAAAACAAAGCACAGTTTATTAAACATTCAGTAACAAACAAACAGCCCATATGAATCAAGAAAAACAATATTTCCGCTTTTGTTAGCAAATATTACACACAGGCTTCTATACAATGCTATTGCAGGGGTATATGCGTGAAGTAGAGATGTAAAGAGCAGATCTGGCTTTATTCTTCAGAGATCTCCTGAGATGCTTTTTTCAAAGGAACTAGTTTGGGTGACAGCTACTGTTAAAACAGAAATTGAATCATGTTTGGGTTATTTTTATGTTGGTAGTTTTAGATGTGCTGATATGAAACTAGGCCCAGATATTACAGAGGTTATTAATACAGAGCAGAAGCTTTATGCAGCAGGAGATGGGGAGGTTAAACATGAGAGGTGACGATTGTCCCAATGCAGTATTCACAGGAGTGTCATGCTGTGTTGTCAAGTATAATACAGTATAGTATAATAAAAATAGTACACTTCTGTGTGATAATTCACTGGCCATCACTAAACCTGTCTATTAGGCTTCCTTTTTTTGTATTGATGGTAAATTTGTGTATTTAGAGTGTATTCACTGATATGGTCACATGATCAATTGAAGGCGATTATGAACTATGTGCGTCTGGCCTGTCAAAGCCAATATGTGGCTGCTGAAACAATTTGACATATTACACCTCTGACTGCACATACAGAGCAATTATATAGTCAAACATAAATGTATAACACATGAAATACCTGAACATTCCTACAATACATAAATGTGTTTAAAAAATAATAAATTAAACAAGAAATTGGGTTTAAGGCTTTTGGGGTTTCTTCCTGGACACTGTGTGGCTATTTAAATAAATAAATATTATTACCATTCAAAAGTTTGTTTGAGTTGGAGGTTTTTTTTTTCTTTCTTTTAAATAAATTAATACTTTTATTCAAAAGGGATGCAGTAAATTAGAGTCTTGGGGGGGAAACGTACAACCGTTTTCATCATTGCTAATAAGAAGAAATGTTTCTTGTGCACCAAATCAGCATATTAGAATGATTTCTGAAGGATAATGTGACATTAAATACTGGAGAAATGGCTGATGAAAATTACACTTTAAAATATATTAAAAGAGAAAACCGTTATTATGAACTGTAATAATATTTCACAATATTTGTGTTTTTACTGTATTTTTGGATGCACTTTATTTTACAGTACATGTACTTACAAGTACTTACAGTGTACCTACAGTGTATTTACTGTACCTAAGAAAGTACTGGTAATATAAGGTAACTACATGGGGTAGGGTTAGGTTCAGGGTTAGTACCTAGTCATTACCTAGTTATAATGTAATTACTATAATAAGTACATGGTACAGTGTGTAAATGAGAAACAGGACTGTAAAATAAAGTGCTACCGTATTTTTTTATATAAACGCAGCCTTGGTGAGCAAAAGAGACCTCAAAGGGACCTGTTATAAACATTTAAAAAATCGTATCAATCACAGACTTTTGGATGTTATAACGTAATAACGGTAGTCGGCAAATTGTTGTAATTTCAGTTATTAAACTCAGACAAACAAGAAAACAACACTCTCTGTTTTTAGACCTCGTTATGCCTAATGACATCAATTATGACACTCATGATCCCATACTATGAAAACTGAATACATTCCAGGTTAAATGGTGGATGGTCAGTTATTTCTACATGCAGGTATTTGTACAATAATTCTTACCTGTCAAATATTCTACATTCTTTCAATTAATGAATCTGTGAAAAATATATCTGCTCTAAGATGATGGACAACTAAATTTCTTTTCACATCCAATCGTCAACCGTCAACAGTCTGTCATCATTTATTTACTCTCATGTTGCTCCAAACCCGTATTTGAATTTGAAATTGAATGAGTACTGATGTATACCGAGCTACACGAATCATTAAATTGAGGAATTGAATGTTCTATATCTTCCCACTGGAGCTCTAAAATAACATTTGAACTTCCACATATGCAAATTGGTTATGAGAAATGAGACAACCAAAGTCATCCAGCATTATAGATGTCAAACCTGATGTGCCATATTTGAATATATGAGAACACAAATGAGATTTGAGAGCTTTTTCAATTTACTTTCACTGAATGGAAAAGAGCAGCATGTGCATTCGTCAAACAAATCTCTTTTTGTTTTAGCACACCTTAGGAGTCTGGAACAGCACAAGTAAGTGATGGCAGAATTGTTGTTTTTGGTTAAAGTTTTCCTGTAAAAGCCCTCAATACAACTGAACATACAACAACACCCACCTACTGGTCTGTTTAGGACTCTTAAAGTTCCAAAACACATCACCCTAAGCCTTAATATGACATTCACTGGTGTTACTACTCCTAACTCTGCGATTCCCACAATTCCTGTCTACTTGTAGTTTCTCAATCTATTAATCACTAAAGGTCTCAAAAGTGTTGAACTCCCTGGGCAACAAGTCATAACGGAGCAGGCCAAGAAACGCTGCAGGAAACACTGCGTACAGTAAGTGCACATTCCAAATGAAATGATATAATGTAAATGACATCTAATGTTGAAGTACAGCATGTAACATGCTAGAATCTCTTTCCTCCAGCCCATGTTCTCCTCTCATAAGGTGTGTCCCATACTGCTGCTGACCAGTCCTTTAACGTTTGTGACAGGTCTGACATCATGCAGCTGTTTGCGGCGGTCTATAAACGCAGCGAGTCTGACAGTGTCCAGCGGTGTTTTGGAGTAATCTCCACTATGAGCGCTGACCCACGGGTGCTGCAGACATGTAGCTGAGCTCGGCCTCTTCCTGGGATCCTGGTGAAGTGTGGACACAATGAAGTCTTTGGCGGCCTGGCTAACGCCACTGAAGTACTCCTCAGGAAAGCAGAAGTCCAGCCTGCAGATGTTGACGCAGGTCTCCTCCAGACTCTCATCCAGGAACGGGGAGACTCCGCTGAGCATGACGTAGGCCAGCACCCCTACACTCCACACGTCTGTGGACAGGGACACCGGGGTGCCCTGGATGAGCTCTGGAGCGGCAAATTCAGGGTTCCCCAGGAGGAGATGCACATAGCGGTGACCCGAAACATGTACAGCATCGCCCAGATCTGAGAGCTTCACGCAGGACGCCGGCACGTGGAGGTCCACCAACAGGTTTTCAGGCTAAAGAAGAAGAAAGAGTTGAAGACTCAAGAGTCTGCACTAGGTTTCTAAACCATCCTTTAGTGGTCACCTACTTACTTGGTGCTTGCTTGTGGTTTCTAAGGTGTTCTGAGTGTTTTTAGCACATTGCTGTGTGGTTGCTGGGATGTTATACGAGCTTCTAGCAGGTTTTATCAAAGTCCCTTTCAAAGAAAGTCAGTACAACGCCTCTAGGCAGCAATTTTGGGCATGTAAAATCTACTCCTATCTACCTGAATGGAGAAATGCAAGCCTCAGGAAACTGTCGGGGACTGGAGCTTTTAATGGCAGCTGCACTGATGCAATGACTTTACCAATTTGCAATTGACTTAATTGGAAGCTGGAACTTTCTTTATTAGATCTGCCAAATTGTGTGCTGCACTTCCTCCCATTCCTTGTAATAAGTGAACCATCTTGGTGTATGCAGTCTTTGGTTTTATTTAGGTTTTTAGCATGCTGTTTTGCAGGTGCTTGGGTGTTCTAAATGGTTGCTATGCAGTTGCTTATTTTTTTTGTTTTTTAGGTTTTATTCACAGCTGGTTTTTAGAGCACTGCTGCATGGCTACTAAGTGTACTGGTGGTTGCTAGAGCATTGCTATGCAAGTTGTTCTGCTTCGGATAAGTGTCTGCTAAAGTACTACTTTCCAGTAAATAAGCTAAGTATCCGTTGCATGCTGATGTGCTGGTATAATATTTCACCTTGAGGTCCAGGTGAGCTACTCTGCATGTGTGCAGGTGCTGCAGAGCTTCCAGTGTGTCTTTAATGAAGAATGCCACCTTCTCCTCCATCAGCTCATCGTGAGCCACCAGATAGTCCAGCAGACGCCCGTCCTCAACACTGAACACATATAAATATGATCATATCATTGCACGTCATTTTTAAAAATAAGTTCCATTTGAGTGTGTGTGTGGAAAATGAGATTCCAGGAGGAGAATATTCATTCTGTTCCATGCAGCAAAACATACCAACATTTTTGTCTTTTTTACTGAATATTAACTGAATTTATTTAGAAAATGCTGAGTTGAGCTCAACTGCCCTTCTATAGAATGCTGCAGGGATGATGTAATTCTGTAGGTCATTCCGGAAGTTAGAAGTATCCTGGTTCCTTTGACAAAAAAGTCAAAATAGGCTTTTTTTTTCTCCTCTCTCTCTGTTGGCTTTTGGATAATTGCAAAAAAATAAACTCTGGTCTAAGCTCTGATTCTTACACATTTTGTTCTTGAAGATAATCTTCAGAAGATAATTCATGTCTGGCCCACTTTCTAATCACCACATTACTGTTGGCCCATAATTATTGTGATGGGCTATCAATGGAAGACTATTTGCTTTCTAAATGGATTTACTCACAGCTCAAGAACCAGCATGTAGGCCTTGGGCGACTCGTAGGTACCAAGCAGGGCCACCAGCTGCGGATGCTGGACGTGACGCAGGATATCAGCCTCATGGGCCACCTGGTCTTTCTTCTGCATCTTCTTATTGACAAACTTCACAGCAACCTCCTTCTTACTGGCCTTACTAAGACACTTCCTCACCACTGAGAAACGACCCCTAAAAACAGAAAACATATGAGTCAGCTGAGTTTGTTACTGACAGGATAAAGGATGATGGACTGCATTTTAATGAAGGTAAAAAAAATATATATATATCATATATTATACGGTCACCGTACTTCCAGACCTTTCCAAATGTCCTTCAGTTTGTGAAAAAAAAAATGTCCTTGCATTAAAATTTAAAGACTGAATTTGTTCAGTGATTACGAAAAAAGCATCATAATCCGTGAATCATGCACAATATTCCATGCAGGGCTGCTCTTTTTGGGGTGAAAAATCTAATTGCAATTTTTCTCATAAAAACTTAAAAATGCACAAAAAAAAAAATCCAGATTTGCTGTGTTTGTTTGTAGGGCAATTTGGCAAGAACTTTTGTGATTATATAGCAATAAAAAAATATTATATAAAAAAATTATAATTGTAAAATTCCACTGTAAAATAAAGATTTTAAGAAATAATAATAATAATAATTATTATTATATTTTGCATTCCAACTGTAAAATTACAGCAAACCGTTGAACTTTTATTTTGATGGAAAACCGCTGTTGATAAGAGCTTCTCATTTCAAGCATGTGGAGATAGTTGGTGCATGTTGCATTTCCAAATGCCTCTAACACTAGCTTGCCCTATTATTTTTCTATTCTATCTGTTTTATTTTTATTTATTATATAATTAATGAACACCTTTGCTATGTGTACTACGTTAAGTTAACTGAGACTTGTTATAGCACTTGCGTATCATTGCTCTTTTGTTGATTCTGATTGCTTCCATTGTCCTCATTTGTAAGTCACTTTGGATAAAAGTGTCTGCTAAATGACTAAATGTAAATATCTTTACCGTCCAATTTCACACAATTCTGTGAATGCAGATTCAAAGTTGTCTTTCCACTGGATTCCAGTGCCGTCATAAGTTGAGGCTTCATAAAAGAGAGAAAAAAATTGTTATAAGAAATGTGTTTGGAACAATTACACTATAACTCTATTCCAAAACCTAGTGCTGCCTACCTATATACACAGAACCATTTCAGACAATACTTTATAGGCATCATAGGTGTGCTTCCAAAACACTAAGGCAGCATGTTTTTTTTTTTTTTTTTTCTAGGATACTTTATTTTGGTTAAAATGGAAGGCTAGAATGGATTTTTAAATTAAATTAAAACTACTCAAGCATCTAAAATACAGGTACGTTTTATTAATAATGGCACAGCTGATGGCATCGATGGCAGCCTGAGTGGTGGGTTGGTGAACTCTGTAGGATATCTAAGAGTTTTCACCCAAAAATGAACAATTGTCATCACTTAATCATAGTTATGTCATAAATCTTCACAAATTTCTACTTTGGGGTTATTCTTGGTTAATAAACGTACTTTTGTTCAACGTTATGTTTGTTCTTGATGATGCCCTTTGGTTTTATTATTAAATGATTAATTTATACAATTAATAATGAGTTTACATATGCCAAAATTTACATGAATATATATTTACAAATGTTTTAAAAGTCTATATATATGCAATATTGAACAAACCGCAATACACTGCTTCCATGGATAGACTACTCTAGATTCATGTACTTTCTAAACTGATGCACTTTCAAGAGAATCCATTTCGGTTATGATCCTGTAGAAGACTGCTACCTTGACAGGAAGGCAGTTCAACTGGGACAAGCACTTAAGTTTGATTTGATTGTATTGACCTGTGCTGGGTAATGTCACCATGTTTGAGGGTTCACTGGGTGGGCTGATGCCCCAGGGGTTACTGGCACTGACTCTGAACTGATAATGGCCACCAGGAATCAGATTCTCAATCTTCACACACACGTCTGCAGTGGAGACCACCGACTGCTGCCACACCAGAGAGTCTGCACACAAATACAGACACACAAACGTCAACCTGGATACACAAAATAACAGATGTAGTTTTTCTTCTAGTGTTTCAGTTAACAGACATTATGGGGTTCAGGATGAATGAACAGAATGACACACATTCATACATCATAAGATTAATTTTGCAGACAGAGTAATATGTATGGATCTGGATAAGGTGCTATATTTTGTACTTCTGTGGAAATGCGTTCCCTTGTTTCTTAAGTCAGTAGTCTACTTATTTAGTAAGTTTACTTATTAGTCAAAGTTTCCTGCACTAAAATACTGTTAGCCAAAGTTTAATACACTGAAAATAGTATTTTTTTTTTAATGCAGGGATGCACTGAACAGTTTTCAAGCAGCATAACTGTTTTCAGCGTTGATAATAACCAGAATTGTTTTTTGAGCACCAAATCAGCATATCAGAATGATTTCTGAAGGATCATGTGACACTGAAGACTGGAGTAATGATGCTGAAAATTCAGCTTTACCATAACAGGAACAAGTTCCATTTCAAAATACAGTTATTTTAAATTGTAATACTATTTTACATGTTTAACCATGTTTTTGATCACATAAATGCAGCCTTGGTAAGCATAAAATACTGAATATAGAATAGTTGATATGTAAATGTGATATGTTAATTAGCTTACAGTTATGAGAGCACAGAATTCTGAACGAGCTCTTTAGTTTCAAGCAGGGTTGTTGTTGAGGGTTGAGGAGGAATGTGAATGTTTGATAGTGAGCCAATTTTATTTCTACATTGCATTTCAAGTTAGTAAAATTAGTAGTTTTCCACTGCATTACCTCTTTAAGTGTTTCTGGCTATGCTGTCTGTTTTGAGATGCTGTTTGGCTATGCTGAGACTTGGATTTTACAGATGTGTAAGTGTTTATACCTTCCTGCCTGTATTCCACACTGTAGCTGGAGATGGCAGAGTTGCCTGAGCTGGCTGGAGGAAGCCAGTGGACAATCACTGCGGTGCTGCTGGCTTCCTGTGCCACAGGACGAGCAGGGGCTGCTGGGATACCTGCACCAGAGAACATCTGGACATTAAAACATGTGGGAAGGTGATTTGTGCAATACCCATCTTTATTCCTTTGTTTCTTTTACCTTGTACTTTAATAGATGCAGATGAGGAGGCAGTGCCATGATCATTCACAGCCACACACGTGTAGATGCCAGTGTCCTGAGGCATTAGATTACAGATCTTCAACACTATATTACCCGATTCCCTACATGGGCACAGCACAGAGAGAGAGAGAGAGAGAGAGAGAGAGAATCAAATGACACAACGATCATTTTATAAATCTTTAATAAAGCAATTGTATTTACAAATATATTTACATTCAAGTTTAATAGAATAGTAATATCATTAAGGATGTCATTTAATACAATTAAATGACATTTAATAACATTTAAAGACGATTGTTGTTCCTTACGCTATTTATTTATTTTTTATTTTTTTGCTCAAATAGTTAATACAATAATGTGCATAATACAGTTTTGTTTTTCTATTTACTAAAGCAAAAAAAAAGTTCATAATCCCCCAAGTGAAAACCTATTGCCCTCTTAAATGTAAAATCTGGTTGTGCAGCCTATTGTCACGCGTGCCTACTGTGTTGGAGCGAGGAACGAGGAGCACGTAGGAGAATCACCATAATAACAGTCTTTATTGATCCAAACCACAAGGAACACACATGTAGCACCGGGGATTGACATTTAACACTGGACACAGGAAAACACAGGGCTTAAGTACCAGGAACTAAACAAGGAAATAAACGAGAAACAGCTGAATCAAATAGAACACAATCAACACGAGGAGAAACTGGGTCACGGGGAGCACAACACAAGACAGGAACACAGCGGCAGTCCATGGGATGTGACATTACCTCCGCCTACCGGAAGGCGTGTCCACGCGCCTCATAACTTCCAACGGGGAGGGGGGGCGCTCTGGAGGTCTCTAGGGACAGGCTTACACAGGACGGAAGGCCTCCAGGGCGGTACCCGTTCAAGGGGCCATGAGCGGAGCAGGCAGCTCGGGGAGCCATGGCGGAGCAGGCAGACTAGGGAGCCATGGCAGACCAGGCAGCTTGGGGAGCCATGGTGGGGAGGCCTCCGTGGCCTTGGCCTCGGCACTCGTCCTGTCCTCTACGGCTTTTTATTGCCCTATAGCCCCCCCAAAAAAAATTCCTTGGGGGAAACTTTGGGTTCTGAGGCCCTCCGTGGTCCAGGCTTAGGAACAACGGCCCTCCCTGGGTTTGACTCCAGATCTGTGGCCCTCCCTGGGCCAGACGTGGGAACAGGAGCCCTCTCTGGGCTGGACTTGGGAAAAGAGTCTCTCTCTGGGCTGGACGTGGGAACAGGAGCACTCTCTGGGCTGGACGTGGGAACAGGAGCCCTCTCTGGGCTGGACTGGGGAACAGGAGCCCTTTCTGGGCAGGACGTAGGAACAGGAGCCCTCTCTAGGCTTAACTTGGGAACAGGAGCCCTCTCTGAGCTGGACGTGGGAGCAGTAGCCCTCTCTAGGCTTAACTTGGGAACAGGAGCCCTCTCTGAGCTGGACGTGGGAGCAGTAGCCCTCTCTAGGCTTAACTTGGGAACAGGAGCCCTCTCTGAGCTGGACGTGGGAGCAGGAGTTGACTCTGATCAGGGGCTGGAGCCAACACTGGAGCGGACTCAAGGGATGGAGCCGACACTGGACGATGGAGCTGCCGGCAGACTTGACAATGGTGCGGCCGGCTGGCTTGACTTTGGAGCGGCTGGCGGGTTTGACTGCGGAGCGGCCGGCGGGCTTGACTGCGAAGCGGTTCTGAATTGGGGCCGGACGCTCTCCAGACACCGGAGGAACCCTTCCCTCCAGCATAGACCAGTGGTGTCTGGGAGGTCGGAGGTGCGATGGTAATTGGCCCCGATCCAGAACAAAGAATTCAGTGTGGCGTCGTCCAATGCCGTCAAGACGGCGAACCCACAGAATTCCCTGGCATACTACACAAAAGGAAGATCCTTGCAGGCTAGGGCGGCGAATCTTGCGGCGATCTCCATTTGTATGTTTTTAGGTCCAGTGTTCTGTCACGAGTGCCTACTGTGTTGGAGCGAGGAATGAGGAGCATGTAGGAGAATCACCATAATAACAGTCTTTATTTATCCAAACCACAAGGAACACGCACGTAGCACCAGGGATTGATGTTTAACACTGGACACAGGACAACACAGGGCTTAAGTACCAGGAACAAAACGAGGAAATAAAGGCGACACAGCTGAATCAGATAGAACACAATCAACACGAGGAGAAACTGGGTCACGGGCAGCACATGGGGAGCAAAACACAAGACAGGAACACAGGGGCAGTCCATGGGCGTGACACCTATAGGCAGTAATAACTGCAACCGAACCCTTCTGATAAGTAGAGATCAGTCTTTCACATCACTGGTTGAATTTTGGCCCGCTCTTCTTTGCAGATCTGCTTTTTTCCACCACATTGAAGGGGTTTCAAGCATGAAATGCCCATTTAAGGTCCTGCTCTCAAGTCAGGACTTTGAATAGGCCACTCCAATATTTATTTATTTTTTTAGCCATTCAGAGGTGGACTTACTCCTATGCTTTGAATGATTGCCTTGCTGCATAATTTGAGACTGGTAGATAGCAGAATTCATGTTTCCCTAAATTATGGCAAGTTGCCCAAGCAAAGCATCTCCTGCCACCACCATGCTTGACCATAGGTATGATGTTTTTTTATGTTTCAACTTTTGACTCATCAGTCCACAAAACATTCTCCCAAAAGGTCTTCTGCATTAGCAGTGGTTTTCGTCTCGCCACTGTTCTATGGATGCCGTTTTTGGCCAATGTTTTTTGGTTAGTGGAATCACGAACAGTATGACCTTTACTGGTGCAAGAAAGGCCTCCAGTTCCTTTGATGTTGTCCTTGGGTCTTTTGTGACTTCCTTGATGAATTTTCACTGTGCTTTTGAAGGAATTTCGGAAGGTCTGCCACTTCTGGATAGGTTTGCTAATGTGCTGATTTTTTTCCATTTGGAGATAATGGCTTTTACTGTGGCTCTTTGGAGACCAAGAGCCTTTGAAATAGCTTCAGTTACCTTCTTTCTCATCATTTTTGGAATTTATTTCACCTTTGGTATAGTGTGTTACTGGAAAAATACCATTCAACCAATTCAATGCTGTTGAAAAGATTTTCAAGGCTGGTAGTGATCAGGTCTGGTTGGGTCTAGTCCAGCTGGACACCGTTATGAATGCAGTTTCATAGATTTGGGAATTAGTAACTACAGGGGCAAACACATTTTCACACAGACCCAGTCAGTTTTAGATAACGGTTTTGCTGTAATAAGCAACATAATTTAAAAGCTGTGTTTTCCCTGGTTCCCTTTGTTAGATTTTGTTTTCATTTCTGAAGCTACTTATTTTTTTAGCATTGGGTGGGGATTGAAAAATTACAATCCAGGTGTTTTGTTTGTACATTGTTTTTGTATAGGTGGATTGAGAGCTACAGTCAATGGCACAGTGGCAAAGAAAAATACCCTGAGGAATCATGGGACAGTTACATAACAATTAGACTTACGAGGTTACATGGGTGCAGTTTTCTCACAGAACAAATACAGAAGACATGATCTGAACTTTAATGTAAAACATTTCTTTGTTCCTCAACACTTTCTAAAAGTCAAGCAGTCTCTTATACCCAAAGATTGTACTGCAATATTGCAAAATAGAATTTCAACATTTCACTACAGGACAGATTGTATCCAAAGCACTAGTGTTTCTTGGTTGTGATCGTAATTTGTGTTGTGACTGATTGTGGACTAGTACCTAATATTGATAGTGAATCGGTTATTGTTGACTAGCAGACTTTGATCGGGTCCTTTCAGGGTGATTGTGGGCTTGGGTCGAGCGCAGACTTTACAGCACAAAACCACTGTCTCCCCCAGAGCACATGCCACGTCCGCTAGAGGTGTCAGGAACTCCGGAGCCACTGCACATGTGTATACATATATAGTAAAAAGTCACTCTGATGGACACTGATTTTTATTTTCTCTTTCATTTCACTTTATACAAGGAGATTTTTAATTGGATTTCTAAAACAAGCTACAGGTGACATACTGTATGTATGATCACTCAACAATATATGCTACTAGAAAATACAGACAAACGGAACATCACAGCATCTGTACATATTAATAAACTCACCCTCCTGGATGAAATTAGGATTCAGTAACTGTAAAACAGACAGGAGGAGTGTTAAAGGTGCATACTTCAAGCATTCTAGACTATCAGTCATAAAGCACAGAATCTTTCTGCAAACACACACACACACACACACGCAGAAAGAGAGGAAGTTTTATGTTGTGTCATTTCAGCACAAGCCAACAGAGGGCAGTACTTTCACATGACATGATAGACACTGGCTGTATCTGAAATGAGATACTATTTTTTTCCATATCAAAATATGGGAGAATTGTAAGTGTAGCATGTTAGTATGCCATTTCGATTTCAGCCACTGAGTATGTTCAGAATAGCATACTAGCATACTAATAATACCATTTCTGCAGAGTGCTGCTATTGTGTCAAATCCTGAATCCAGACCAAATACATCAGCCACAATGAGAAGTATACATCCAGAGCACACTGCTTGTGATTTCCAGAAACACAATGTTCTCTGATTGACCTTGGCGTTAATAATGAATAATATCAACCACAAATATCTTTTTTCTATTTGATTTGCAACACATAATATGGTGGCTGTCCACCTTTCAGTTAGCAAAAATACTTTTATTTTGATTTCAGTAAATCCATCTTTTTTTGTCAGTGCAGTATATACTGCCCAGTATGCAGTATGCATTAAGATAGTATTTCACTCTGAACATTGCAAAACCTTTACACTGGGGTTAAGGCCCATTCACACCAAGAGCGATAATTATAAAGGTGACTAAACACAGCGGTGAGTGTTTTTATTGTTCATCGGGTGAGGGGTTTTGTTCTGAAAGTGATTTTATTTTAGCTCTGGTGTGGACTTCCATCATAAAACTAGAATGATTATTACAACTTTATAGTTATAGTTATCATCCTTGGTGTGAAAAGCCCTTTATGCCGGTCACCACACGATTAGTTAAAATAATAACTTACCAACAACAACGCGCTCATGTAAAAAGAGGTTCAGATATTTCTTTAGATTAGAGCTTTAAAAAGCTTATCTATTTACTATTAAATTGAGTTTATTACAAAATTATAACATCAATAAATAAAAAAATAAAAGCTTATTGGGCAGCATGCATTGAGATCAGTATCTCTACCTCCATACTAGTTTTGGGGTCTAGTTCATCCTCACACTCGGACTCATCTGAGCTGCGGGAATCCTGTGGTTTGGGTTGAGAGAGAACATTGTTACAGACTTACAGTACAGGAATACAGAGTGACGGAGAACTCCAGGCCAAAATGACAGGAATGTTTCAAATTAATTACTTATTAGTGTCATTAATCACAAAATTGGATGGCTACAAATGAAGAAAATATTTTTTTTATACTGTGGTATTTTACCAAAGCAAAATAATAATAATAATAATAAAACTTTATTAAACACATTTTACTAATTTATTGAGCTTATAAAAAAATAAATAAAGCTGAAATATGTGACCCTGGAGCACAAAACCAGTCTTAAGTCGCTGGGGTATATTTGTAGCAATAGCCAAAAAAACATTGTATGGGTCAAAATTATCGATTTTTCTTTTATGCCAAAAATCATTAGGGTATTAAGTAAAGATCATGTTCCATGAAGATATTTTGAAAATTTTTGTACTGTAAATATATCAAAACTTAATTTTTGATTAGTAATATGCATTGCTAAGAACTTCATTTGGACAACTTTAAAGGCGATTTTCTCAATATTTAGATTTGTTTGCACCCTCAGATTCCAGATTTTCAAATAGTTGTATCTCGGCCAAATATTGTCCAATCCTAACAAACCATACATCAATGGAAAGCTTATTTATTCAGATAATTAATCAGTGATGTATACATCCCAATTTCGAAAAATTTACCCTTATGACTGGTTTTGTGGTCCAGGGTCACATATGCTAAGCACACACACACACACACGATTAACTTTTTGACCCACTTAATTAGGACTTAAGTACATCTTTATATGTAATTTCATAATTCCATTGAAATATGGTTAAAGTGTGTTAAGTTCCAATGAAATTGCAATTTAGTACATTTTTTATTTAATATTGAATAACACATGACAGTTAAAATGATAAATCAAATACTTTACATGTATTTTATTATGTTAGTCAACACAACGGAATAAGTTAAACAAAAGCACTCCAGGGTCACATATAGGGTTAAAAAAAAAAACACTTCCCAAACTTTATATTTACAACACATAGTTGTATTCCTCTTAAATTGTTATCATTCAACTTTTCAATATCAAAACTGAAGAAAGAAAAAAAAGCTAACATTTGAAACATGTTTAGGACTGTCAGTATCATGCTGTCATTGGGTGAGTGACGTGTTCAGTGTTTATTTCCACACAGGTGAAGATGCAGCCCACACACACACACACACACACACACACACACACACACACACACCCTCCTC